GAGGATTTCCACATACAATGTGGATCCTTCACAACCCCAATTAATTATATATAAGAGCATCATTTGTATCTTAAGGAGACCCCTCTTTCGTTATCTTCAGTTAAGGTTCGTCTCTCAGCCATGTCAGCAGATCATGTACCTGTAGCGGGAAAATCAGTTTTTACTAATGATACAATTAAGAAGTTTTTAAAAGGCCTTAATAATTTGTATCCTCCAATAAGAACCCCTTTGCCCTTCTGGGATCTGAATGTAGTGCTAGCACAAATGGTGAGACGTCCTTTTGAACTTCCAGGAAGCTGTTGTTTTTTATCTATCTGTAAAAACAGTGTTTTTGATAGCAGTCACTTCTGCCAGACACAGAAGTGATTGCGTGCGTTGATGGCCGAGACACCAGTCACTGTGTTTCTTAAGATGCGTGCGAAGGACCATTATCCTTAAGTGTTCACCAGAATAGTCTCCGGTTTTCACATGAATGAATCGATCACGTTACCAGTTCTGTCCCCCAAGCCCCATACTTGTGATGGGGAAGCTAATGCCAGACATTAGCTGCGAGGAGAGTATTAGCATTTTATTCAGACAGGACTAGAATTTCAGCAGTCTTCAAGGCTGTTTAGAGCTTATGGACCAAAAACCAAGGGAAAAGCTGTTTCTGTGCCGTCTCTCTGTAGCTGGCTCGGGTATTTGTGGAGCTTGTACACGGAGGGGATTATCCATTCCTCACGGCATCAGAACTCATCCGCTAGATCAAAGGGAGCGTGCCTGGCTGCCTGTAGACCTGTTCCTCTGGGGGAGATTTGCAGAGCAGCACCCTAGCGTTCTGCTCACACTTCCACTAAACGTTCTGTAGATTTGGAACATTTGGCAGGCAGTCCTGCACTCCTTGTAGGACTAGGCCCCACTCTCCTGGGGCAGGGTACTGCTTATGGGTCTAGCCCGGGAGTGGGAATGGGCAGAGGACGCTGGAAGGAAGAAATGAAGGTTACTCCCCTATAACCGAGGTTCTTCGAGATGGACTCTGCATGTTCACACTCCTGTCCTGCCCCACCGTTCCCCGCTCCCTTGGGCTTACGTGGGATGGAACGGAGGCAGGAGTTAAACTCTTGCCCTAGATGGTCCGGTGAGCGTCCCGTGAGCGTGACTAGCCCGAGTCCATCTCGAAGAACCTGGGTGACAGGGGCGTAACCGTCATTGTTCAGCCGTGTGAAACGGGAAGGCTGTCCCTGGTGCAGCCGCTACAGAGAAGACGGCTCTTACACCCGTATTGGGGAGACTGTGTGAGGATGCGGCGACGCCGCTGCTGTATGTGTGGGGAGGGGGAGGTCTGTGAGATGATCATGCTCTTGAAGGCATGGTGCTGCAGCTGGAGAATCACTGCTGTAGCGTCTAACGCAAGAGCCTGGCCATCAGGACGAGTTGGGTCGGTTTGACGCACTGCCATATCTGGCCCACTCACTCGGTGACCAGTAAGGGAGGCAGTAAGGGCCACCGGGCTTGGTGGATTTCTGATGGGAACGGGGCTGAGATCTCCCTAACTCACTTCATACGGGCCTCTGAACAGCCAGCAGGGGATGCTAACTTTTGATCACTGAGCCTGGGGGGTGGGGGAGTGGGGCTGGCGCTTGGTATCCCATTGCAGATCTGGCCAGACTCCTCAAGCAGGGTGGGTAAGGCTGGGACCCTGTGCTAACTCCCGTCCTGCTTTCCCAGGGAGGAGAGTGGTCTTCATGGGGGATGACACCTGGGACGGGCTCTTTCCCCAGAAGTTCTTCCGCTCGTATTTCTTCCCGTCATTTAACGTGAAGGATCTTCACACGGTGGACGATGGGATCCTGCAGCATCTCTACCCGACTGGTGAGCTACCCTTGCCTGGGGGCTGGGACCACGTCCTCTCTGCAGCTGCATTGCGCTGGGAGCCCAGCCGAGGTTGGGGGGTAGAACTGAAGGGTCTCTGCTGCCCAGCTGAGTGCCCTAGGGTGGAGCCCAGCCGAGGACTGTTCTGCGTCCTAGCCGGGTCAGGAACTCCGGGTCTGCACCTGATCACAGCTGCAGCCCACGTAGCCTGCAATGCTCTGCCTGGCTTCAGCAGCCCAGCTAGGCAGCTTTTCAGTCCCCAGACTCTCTAAATGCCCCTCCTCCAATCCAGAGGGAGTTAAGCATGCTGGGCCTTGCAGTCCACAGCCTAGAACGGCCTGGTCTGCCCTGGGAATGCCACACGGGAGTGCGGGGACAGCGCAGGCAGTGAACGTTGTACCAGGCATTTAACCTTGAAGGGACCTTATGAAGCTGGTGCCTGCCTGGCTGTCATTGAAATGCTCAGGCAGGCACGTGATGTTCAGGAATGGTCAGGGCACGCTGGGAGATGGGGCTTGCTCGAGACCTGGGTTTTGTGTGTGTTTAGCTGGACTTTGTCCAAGGCCCAGGACTGGGGGGAAAGGTGCCTTTTACAGTCTATTTATAGACCTAAAGAAATGATTGTGGAGATGGGCTGTCATTGAGAAAACCAGAAATCTGCCCTGCAGGTAGGGGGAAGCCACCTTGTGGGAGAGTTTTTGTCCCTTACATTAAAATGCATCTCTTCCTATCTGTAGATGAGACAGAACAGTCTGCAGTGAAGTATGTGTACAGGAGGAGACAGCCTAGGGGCTGCTCTTACTGCAGTGACCTCCCCAGTGTCTAGGCCCTTTGTGAACACAGAGGAGAATGGAATCCCTGCCCTGTAGAGCTAGCAATATAGCAGAAGCAGCAGGCAGAGTGACACACATTCAAGATAAAACATCAGTGTACCTGTGGCTGTAAGTTTGGCGAGCTGAGTTCTTCTTGGACGTGCCTTCATCGTGGTGTGCCTCGGTTTCCCCAGCTGTACAACGGGGTGATAGTACCTACCTCAGTGGGGCTGTGAGGCTCATCTGCACCACACAAGGATTTTGAGGGTGGGGCTCTGCCAAGTGAGCAGTCCAGGTTTGTGTCTTCATACTGCATCCTTGCTTCTTCATCTTAATGAGGGTGTGGGGGGATGGAATATGACAGAGCTCTGTAAAATGACTGGTGTAGAGAAAGTGAATAGGGAAGTGTTATTTACCCCTTCACATAACACAAGAACTAGAAGGTCACCCAATGAAATTAACAGGTTTAGCAGGTTTAAAACAAATATAAGGAATTCCTTCTTCACACAGCATACAGTCAACCTGTGGAACTCATTGCCAGGGGATGTTGTGAAGGGCAAAAGTATAGCTAGGTTAAAAAAAGACCTCGATCAGTTCCTAGAGGATAGGTCCATTAATGGCTATTAGCCAAGATGGTCAGGGATGCGACCCCATGTCCTAGGTGTCCCTAAACCTCTGACTGCCAGTTGCTGGGAGTGGATGACAAGGAATGGATCACTCAAAATTGCCCTGTTCTGTTCATTCCCTCTGAAGCACCTGGCACCAGCCACTGTCAGCAGACAGGATCCAGGACTAACTGGCCCATTGGTCTGCCCCAGCAGGGCCGTTATGTTCTTATCCCTGTGGGGGTTCCCAGCGTAGTGGAAAGGGGCGAGCCAGGCTGAAGGAAGGGTGGCCCCAGGCTGGAGTCGCTGGCTGTCTGGCTAGCAGAAGGGGACAGCTTGTGGTCTAACGTGCCCTCTCCCTTGTTCTGCAGTGGATGGTGGTGAGTGGGACCTGCTGATCGCTCATTTCCTGGGTGTGGATCATTGTGGGCACAAGCATGGACCAGACCATCCAGAAATGGCCAAGAAACTCACCCAGATGAACGAGATGCTCAGGTGACCAGTGCCTTGGGGTGGGGGGTTGCCAGCTCACTCGCCTCGGCACCTGCTTTTCTAGGGGGTGTGAGGCCCCTGAACCCAGAGCTTCTCCTCGGTAGCCTCCCGGAGATCCACCGCAGCAGCACGACGAGCCCCCGGACAGCCTTTGCAGGCGTGCTGGGCAGCAGGGGGTGCTCGCGCCGCGCGTGGCTTTGAGAACACAGCAGGGAAATGACAGCTTGAAAAGGAGCCTGCCCCGCCGTGGGGCCCTGAGGCTGTCCCCCACCAGGAGAGAGGGGTCACCGTCGGCCACATGCTGTGACGCTGGCAGGGATTGAACCAGGTCGTGGAGAGCCGGGGCTGCCCCCAGACTTTGCCCAGAGAGGCTGGGCTGGAGCCTTCGCTGAACTTGCAGAAAATATTCTAGCCCCTTGGGGCCCAGCTGAGCCTCTCTAGAATGGAGACAGTGACCCCTGGTGGTTGTGAGGCTGGGTACAGTCTGAGAAGCACTTCCGGAGCCTTGGATAGAGGGCGCTAAGATGGCGCAAAGCTTGGGGTCGCGGGACAGCTGGAAGGGCTGGGGGTGAGTCACGAGCTCTGCCTGTGTGGGGTGTTAGAGCTGGAGCTGGCCGTGCTGTGCATACAGCCCCATGGCAGGCGAAAGGCTTTCCCAAAGCGTCCAGCCCCCTTCCAGGCATGTTGAATGAGCCAGAGGTTTGTGCCGGAGCCTGGGCCCCCCAGAGGATCAGCTTTAAGCCTGTTTCTGTGCGGAATGGCCTTCCAGGACCGAATTGTCGCTGCTGTTCGTCGGATCTAGGCAGGAGTCTGCTCTCTCTGGGCTCTGATTAATATTTGCATTTCTAAGGAGCCCATCAGCATAGCATCTGGGCTGCCACCCTCTGTGGGGAAGCAGCCAGCTCCTAGCACAGGAACAGGCTCGTCGTGGTTTCGCAGTGGTGCCTGGTGCGGCTTTGTTGTGCTCAGAGCCCGCCCCGGGGCTGCATCCAGGCATGGGTCAGTGCGGTGGGAGGTGACTGATGAGCCTTGTCTCGTGGGCAGGTCGCTGGTGGATCACCTGGGGAACGACACCCTGCTGCTGGTGGCAGGGGACCATGGAATGACCGAGACTGGGGACCACGGAGGAGACAGCGAGAAGGAGGTGAACGCGGCGCTCTTCGTGTACAGTAAAACGCCTCTCTTTGGAGCCCACCTTCCCGAGGTAACGCAGAGGGACGCCAGCGGAGCCCTGGCTGGGGGCCTGAGTCCTGCTGGGCACGTACCTGGGATGGGGCCTGCAGGGGGAGTGAGCCCGGGGTCCCAGGAGGAGGGAGACATCTGGCCAGCAGCAAGGAAATATGACCCAAACGCCTGTCTGCCCAGCCCAGGGCTTGAGTGGATTCCGGGGGCGGCTGCTCCTCTGTCTGTGCCCCCAGAGAGGGGCTCTCCCCTCCGGGAGAAAGTGAGGTGGGTGAGACTTTCTCTTCCCATCTGCCCGGGGGTTCAGGGGCCTGCCGAGATTATCTTCCCCACGTGGATCCCTTCCTAGGTTCTTCGTCCCCTCTCCGCACCACCCAGCTGAGTGCAGAGAAGCCGAGCAGGGCCAAATTAACCACCAGTCATGCTAGGCCTGGGCCCTGCAGAAACAGCTAAGTCCTTCCCCACCGCAGGGATCCTCCCACCTTGGCAGGGCGCTGGGGGATGTGGCCACTGAGGTTTCTAGCTTCTCCACCCCCCTCGGAGCAGGGGGCCCAGGGGCTGCCCTCTGGCTCCCAAGCAGGACCACCGTCACTGCCTCCCAGCCCTGCGCTGGGGGTATGCGTGGCAGGCCCGGGGGGATGTGGATGCAGATGGGGCCTCAGAGGTGTAGGGTGGCAGGTGCCAAGTGCATCTGTGCCCTCCGGCCCCCAGGTTGGCCTAACCCTGCCCAGAAGATCAGTGCGTGCTCATCTCCTCTAGTCTATTGACCGGATGGGCTCCCTTTCCTTGTCCTCCTCCAGGAGCCTGAAACCATCCCGCAGGTGAACCTGGTGCCCACGCTGGCCCTGCTGCTGGGCGTGCCCATTCCCTACGGTAACATCGGGGAGGTGATGGCTGAGCTGTTCTTGGGGGACGGCGCCGCCGCTTCGGCAGCACTCAGTCAACTCTCGGCGTATCGCATCAATGCCAGACAGGTGGGGGCAACCGGCGCTTACCAGACCCATTCCACAGAGAGGCCCAGGATCACAGAGGCAGTGCCAGGACTGGTCCCCAGGAGGCCTGGCTCCCGGTCCTCTTGTCACCCTCTAGCCACACCTCTCGCTCTCCTCGAGAAGGTGGCCTTTTATAATCCTCCTCAGCCAGCTGGAGGGAATCCTGCCAGAGCTGATCTTCCTTGTTTGGGGTCAGACATTGTTTGCTAATGCAGGAGTGTTGCTGGGCCTGACTCAGCCACCCCATCCCCCTGGTCTCACTGCCAGCCCTACATGCCCCCCTCCTGCTCACAGTCACATACAACCGCCTGTTCCCCTCGGGGAAGCATTGCTGCACTTTCAGCCTGTCCTACTGCAGTGTGATGGGGCGAGACAGTGTCAGCAGGCAGACTCCGGGATCTGCTGGCAGCATTACGTGGAACGACACAGATTAGGGAAGACTTCAGCGAGCCTAGATCCTAACAGAGCTGCCCGAGGAGATCGCTGGTGTTAATTGTTAATGGGGCCGTCGATTAATCGCAGGTTTAATCGGACTGTTAAACAATAGAATACCAATTGACACACATTACATATTTTGGATGTTTTTCTACATTTTCAAATATACTGATTTCAATGACAACACAGAAAACAAAGTGTACAGTGCTCACTTTATATTATTATTTTTGATTACAAATATTTGCACTGTAAAAAGAACTAGTGTTTTTCAGTTCACCTCATTACTAGTACTATAGTGCAGTCTCTTTAACATGAAAGTGCAACTTGCAAATGTAGATTTTTTTTGTTGTTGTTACATAACTGCACTCAAAAACAAAACAATGTAAAACTTTAGAGCCTACAAGTCCACTCAGTCCTACTTCTTGTTCAGCCAATCGCTGAGACAAACAAGTTTGTTTACATTTACGGGAGACAATGCTGCCTGCTTCTTGTTTACAATGTCACCAGAAAGTGAGAACAGGCATTTTCATGGGACTTTTGTAGCCGGCATTGCAAGTTATTTACATGCCAGATATGCTAAACATTTGTATGCCCCTTCATGCTTCGGCCACCATTCCGGAGGACATGCTTCCCTGCTGATGCTCGTTTAAAAAAAAATGTGTTAATTAAATTTGTGACTGAACTCCTTAGGAGAGAATTGTGTGTTCCCTGCTCTGTTTTACCTGCATTCTGCCATATATTTCATGTCATGGCAGTCTCGGATGACGACCCAGCACATGTTCGATTTAAGACCACTTTCCCTGCAGATTTGACAAAACGCAAAGAAGGTACCAATGTGAGATTTCTAAAGATAGCTACAGCACTCGACCCAAGGTTTAAGAATCTGAAGTGCCTTAAAAAATCTGAGAGGGATGAGGTGTGGAGCTTTCAGAAGTCTTAAAAGAGGAACACTCTGATGCGGAAACTACAGAACCTGAACCACCAGAAAAGAAAATCAAACTTCTGCTGGTGGCATCTGACTCAGATGATGAAAATGAATGTGCATCAGTCCGCTCTGCTCTTGATTGTTATCAAGCAGAACCCATCATCAGCATGGACGCATGTCCCCTGGAATAGTGGTTGAAGCATGAAGGGACATATGAATCTTTACTGCATCTGGTACGTAAATATCTTACGATGCCAGCTACAACAGTGCAATGCGAACGCCTGTTCTCACTTTCAGATGACATTGTGGACAAGAAGCAGGCAACATTATCTCCCATAAATGGAAATAAACTTGTTTGTCTGGGTGATTAGCTGAAGAAGAAGTAGCACTGAGTGGACTTGTAGGCTCTAAAGTTTTACATTGTTTTGGTTTTGAATGCAGTTATTTTTTGTACATAATTCTACATTTGTAAGTTCAACTTTCATGATAAAGAGTTTGCACTACAGTACTTGTATTGGGTGAATTGAAAAATACTATTTCTTTTGTTTCTTTTTTACAGTGCAAATATTTGTAATAAAAAATAAATATAAAGTGAGCACTGTACACTTTGTATTCTGTGTTGTAATTGAAATCGATCTATTTGAAAATGTAGAAAGCATCCAAAATATGTAAATGGTATTCTATTATTGTTTAACAGCGTGATTAATCACAATTAATTTTTTTAATTGTTTGACGGCCCTAATTGTTAATAAAGCTTGGAATAATGGGGGACTTCCAGAAGACTGGAAGAGCGCTCCTGTTGTGCCAATATCCAAAAAAGGCAAAAGAGGTGACTCAGGGAACAAACAGCCAGTTAGCCTGACACCAATCCTGTGCCAGTAATGGAATAGCTGATACAGGATTCAACTGATAGATTTGCAGCAGTGATTTTCAACCTTTTTTCATTTGCAGACCTCTAAAAAATTATAAATGGAGGTGCGGACCCCTTTGGAAATCATAGACATAGTCTGTGGACCCCCAGGGGTCGGCGAACCACTGGTTGAAAACCACTGATTTAAAGGATCAGAATATAGGAAACATCAGTCAGCATGGTTTTATGGAAAATTAGTCATGTCAAGCAAACCTGATTTCATTGTTTGATGAGATTACAAGTTTGGTTGATAAAGGTAACTGCGTGGGTGTAATAGACTGAGACACTTGTAAGGGTTTTGACTTTAAACCCATATGATCTGATTTTTTAAAAACGCTAGCATGATACAATATCAATAAAGCCCACGTTAAATGGAGTAAGAACCAGCTAACTGACAGATCTCAAAAACTAGTTGTCAGTGGGGAATTATCCTTGAAGGGCGGGTGTTTCTAGTGGGGTTTCGCAGGGATCAGTTCTAGGTCCAATGTTTTTCAACGTCTTCGTCAATGATCAGGAAGTGAATATAAAATCCCTGCTGATTAAAACTTGTGGGTGACACAGATGGGCAGAGAGGAAAGTAATGAGGACAGGGCAAACTGGAGAACTGCGTGTGCTTGGTCCATTCACACAAAATGCCTTTTCATACAGCCGAATGCAACATTGTACATTGAAATGAAGAGTGAGAGGTGAGTTCATTACAGTGTGTCAGTACCTGCGTGGGGGAGAATCCCAGGTACTAAATGGCTCTTAAATCTAGCAGGGCAAGGCAGAGCGGGAACTAGTGGCTGGAAGGCGAAGCCAGACAAATTCAGGTTCAAAATGCGGCACATTAGAGGCTGATTAGAGGCCTGCCTGGAAGATGCTTTAGTCAAACACAAGTCACTGGGCTCAGTGCTGGGGTAATGGTGAAATTCTCTGGCCTGGGTTACACGGGAGGTCAGATGAGATGATCCAATGGTCCCTTCTCTCCACAGTCTCCCTGAATCTCCGACTGTGGCTTATGCAGCCCCTGTGTGTGCTGGCCGCAGCCGGCGCTGGCCTGGGCAGAAGAGGGCAGGGCTGCTGCGGGTGGGTTTCCATTGGCAGGTGTTTGGGGATGCTCTGGACCAGCCCCTGTCTGAGGGAGGGGGGAGGCAGCAGTGAGCGTTTCCATTGTAACCCTGGCCCTTCTCTGCAGGTGGACCGTTTCCTGCACTCCTACTCGCTGGCTGCCCAGGACCTGCCGGCCGAGCGGCTCCGGCACCTGCAGGAGCTTTTCTCTGCCGCGATGGAGGAGCACTACCGGCTGCTGGCCCAAGTGCGGGAGGGGCTTCCTGCATCGCCCGAGCTGGAGGCCAGGCTGGGGCGACTGGTTGGCCGCTTCCAGCGTTACCTGCGGGAGGCCCGGGCCGTGTGCATGGAGTCCTGGGCCCGCTTCCACCCCCTGCGCATGGTGGCTGGCTGTGCGCTCATCGCCGCCTCCTGCCTGCTCTGCTGTGTCGCCTCGGAGCTGGCGGCAGCCCTGGACTTCTCCTACCGAAGCCGTCTCCTGTACCCGCTTCTCTGGGGCCTGGCGGTGGCGGCTGTGCTGGGGTTGGGCCACCTGCTCACCAGGGAGGGGCTGGACCTCATTCTGGTGTTGTCGTGGTCGGCTGCTGCCTCCCAGCTGGCCTTCTTCTGGCACTCGTGGGGCCGCCGGTCCCGTCGAGCCCATTTGGCTGGTGTCCAGCCGCCGGTGGCCAGCGCGGGCCTGTGGCAGAGATTGCGAGCATGGCAGGGGCTGGTCCTCCCCATGGGCATCCTCTTCATCCGGTGCTGCGCCATGTTCTCGGACAGCTTCGTGGTGGCCGAGGCCCGGGTGGCCCCGTTCCTGCTCGCGTCCCTGGCCATCCTGCTGGTGGGGAAGCTGCACTGGCACGGCCGGCTGACCGCTCCGAAAGCCCCCAAGCAACCCCCGGGCTCTGCCTTTTACCAGAAGGAGAGCTGGCAGCTTCTGTGCCTCCTGGCTGTGCTCCTGGCCTGCCTGCGCCTCTCGGGCCTTTTCCACCAGTGCCGCGAGGAGATCCCGCACTGCCAGCCCTCGTCCTTCCTGGCCCCCCTCGCCAGCCTGCAGAACACTCAGGCCAAGAACCTCTTCTACCTCCTGTGCGTGGCCTCGCTGGCCGGGCTGGTCTACGCCGTGCGGCGCTGGCTGCGGCACTACGGGAACCTGAACAGCACCAGCCCCCTGGTGCTCTTCGTGCGCTGGGCCTTCCCGCTGGCGGCCGTCTGGATCGCTTGCTACTGGGCCGTCACCTCGGGGGCGGAAGACACGCTGGGCAAGCTGCAGGAGCTGGTGCAGGTGGCGCTGGTGGGCTTCCCACGGGCCGTCTACGGCCTGGCATCCCTGGGGCTCCTGCTGGCGCTGTGGACGCCCGTGACGGTGTTCGTGAAGGACAGCCGGGAGTCAGTGGGGCCCATTGTGACCCCTTATCAGGGGGCCCCCAGCTCCCAAGCCGACCTCCAGCACGTCATCCCACAGATCTACAGGAGGATGCAGGAGTCTCTGAAGAGCCAGCTAGACAGGGGTCACCGGAGGGCCACGGTGGCAGCCTACGGACTGGGGAGCGTGTACTCAGCCACCCTGGTCATAGTTCTCAACCTGCTGGGCTTCCTCCTGCTGATCCTGCACAGCGAGAGGATGAGCCTCGCCTTCCTGCTCCTCTTCCTGGAGGCCTTTGTGCTGCTGCGGATCCACGCCTGTGTCGTGAGCCTCGCCGGGGACGCCGGTGAGCTGGGGGCGGCCGGGGGGGTTCTCTCTTGGTTGGGGGGTCCCAGACTCTCCTACACGCTGGTCCCAGGCCCCGCTGCCCATCCTGGAGCCTGGGATGCACCGAGCCCTGTCTCGTGGCTGCAAGAGTCGCCCAGGCAGCACGGGGGCTGGGCTCCAAGGGACCCCGCTCTGTGGGGCTGGTTACTGGGTGCCTGTGTTGTCAGTGGCTCTGGCTGACCGCAGGGTGTGAGCAAGGGGAGAGGGAGAGAAGGTCTGAGGCTGGGGGATAAGGCCCCTTGTGGGGTGGTGGGGTCCCTGCTGTTAGGGGGGAGGGTTGCTCACGCTCCACACCTGGGCTAACTGCCCAGCGGGAGGGAGTTGAAGGGCCGCACAGTTCCCCGCACCCTTCTGGCAAGAAGACCCCCAGCCTGGTGCTTTGCCCAGGAGGGCACCTACCATCCTTAACCCGGGTGAAGAAGGTCAAGGTGCCCAGTGCTGGAGCCTGGTTCATCTCTCCCCTTCTCAGGGTCGAGGGCAGGGAAAGGGCTAACACTGGCCTTGTCTGAGCTATGGGTCAGACCATCTCCAGAGGCCTGCCCGTGATGCTGGTCTCTCTGTCCCTCTCAGAGCCCTTCGTGGTCCCCTGGTATGCGGTCACCGCCTGGGTTTTTGCTGCCACCCAGTTCTTCTATTCCACGGGCCACCAGCCCATCTTCCCAGCCATCCACTGGAACGCAGCCTTCGTGGGCTTCCAGGAGGGCCACAGCACCCACCTGCTGCCCGCTGTCCTGGTGGGGGCCAACACGTTCGCCTCCCACATCCTCTTTGCAGGTAAGTGAATTTCCTCTTGAGCCCGGCTGCTTTCACAGGCCGCCCGGCTCGCCGCTGAGGGAGCAGCCAGCTCCCTGTGGTTCTCCAGCAGGTGGTCTGTAGACCCACTAGTGAGCCACAGCCATACTGCTCTCATGTGACTGATGAGCAGAATGAAGCTGGCATCCGAGGGGTTAACAGTCACTGCTGGGCCCTGTGCAGGAGAGCAATCCTCACCCCACCCCGTAGCTGTGTGTGTGTCCCCCACGGGCGCCGGGACGCCTGGTAACTTCTGTGCCTTTGTCCTTGAGGTAGTTGGCTGCCCTCTGCTCCTGCTCTGGCCCTTCGTCTGTGAGGCGCCCAACTCCCAGAGGAGGAAGCTGAAGAAGGAACTGCGGGAGGAGCTTCAGGAGCAGGAGGAGGAGCCCATGATGGAGATGAGGCTGCGGGAGTCTCCGGAGAGGTTCTCAGCGGCTCTGCTGCAGCTGGGGCTCAAGTACCTCTTTGTGCTTGGCGTGCAGGTAGGGGCGGGGGGCCCAGCATTGACATGTGACCGTGTGGACACCGAAGGGTTAATAATGAGGCCCACGGTGTGGGGTGGGAATGGGACTGTTCCCTGAGCTCGGGGAGCACCAGCCCCCGACAAGGAGACCTCAGCCAGGGCAAAGAGTGACAGTGGGTGGAGGCGGAGTGGCAGTTCACTGCGGTGCCGCTGGCTCCTGGGCATGCGACCTGTCGGACAAACCCGCCTGCCCTTCTCAGCCACACCCCTCGGCTCCTGCTGATCGAAGCGTGATTCTGTTCTGACGTCGTGGGGCTGCTGCCGTGCCTGGCCCGTGCCGGGGAATCCCTGGAAGACGGACGCGCCTCGCTTGGCAGCCAGCCTGGAAATCTGGCTGTGGACGTGCTCGGCTTCCAAGTAAAAAAACAGGGTTTTTCTCCCTGCCAGCGCCACAGTCGCAGCCTGGGCTCTTTCCCTCTCCCGCGTGGCCTGTAGCGAAAGGTTCTGCGGGGCAGGGTTTGCCCTTGATACCACCTGTGCAGCCCAAGTGCCACTGATTGGAACGGAGTCAGTGCTGATGACACTGACGCACAGGAGGGAAGAGACTCCAGCTCCCGCTCCCAGGGCTGGGCTAGCTCTGCAGGGCTCACCGGAGGGAAAAGCAGTAAAGACATTTCTGTCCCTACGGGCAGCGGCTCAGACTCGGGTGCACATGGGGCAGATTTGCTGAGTGAGGGGGACTGTACTGACAGGCGCTTTGAGGGGCTGTTGCGTTAATAGACATCGGGACGCTGAGTCCAGGTTGCCCTCAGTCCTCTCCTACCCGGTGCTGAAAAGGTCTTGGGACTCCTGCCGATCTCGGTGAGTGGGAGCGCTGCAATGGCTGGGCCCAGTGGCATGAGTTCAGGGTGGATTGTCAGCCAGACCCCCTGGCTTAACTTGGGCCCATCCAATCTCACCCTTTCGGGGTAATGAGTCGGAGATGGGGCAAGTTCCCCGGGTCAGCCCGAGGATTTCCTTGTGGCTGCTGGGTTCCTTGGAGCTAATGAGCACAAATGGGGTTTCCCTCTAGTCCCCTCGCACCAACTCCCATGGTTCATTGGCCTTCTGCCAGGGGTAAGTGTTGGCTGCATCTTCACTGGAACGTGACGCTGGTCTCTGCTGCACCTCTGCCCCTTCCCACTTCCCCGAACGAGTTCGTTCCGAGCGCCGGCCATTCTTGTGGCTCCAAGCAGCCATCGTAACGTTCTCATTTCCACTGTCGTCAAGATCTGCTGCTGTCTCTGCCTCAGTGCCCAGCATGCGGGGCTGTACAGAAGTGAATTGTATGTAATTACCGTCTGGTAGCTCTTACTTGTCAGGCTGACCGCGTTCTCCTATCACAGATCGCCCGGCTTGACAAAGCCCTGGCTGGGATGATTTAGTTGGGAATTGGTCCTGCTTTGAGCAGGGGGTTGGACTAGATGACCTCTTGAGGTCCCTTCCAACCCTGATATTCTATGATTCTATGATCGCTCCGCTCGCTTCGCTCCATTTACTCCACGTCCTTCCTGTTCTGCTTATAATTTCATTGTTTCCTGGACTGTCAAACTAGCTACTTGACCTTCATCATCTGCTAAAAGCAGGCACCAGGGTGCCACTCTGCATGTTGTGTGTAAGTGCCTCGAGAAGGGGCTTAGTGCCGAGCCGTGGTGTGCTCTGACTTGCTAGACACGGCTCAGGTTCTCCGCCTGGCCTTCTGGCAGTGGTAACAGCGCGCTTGCCTATGTCCTGGACGAGTCTGACAGTGTCGGTCTTCGTTCACCACCCCCACGTGACTTCTCTCAAGCCTTCCCAAGATCCATGAACACTATGTGCAGGGTTTTCCTCTTTCTTCTGTGCTTTTGCGCAAGCGCTCTTAATGCAAAGATAGCACAAACCCAAACTCACTGTCACTGATGGTAGCTTCTTAAAAACATGTTTTCTAAGTGCCAGCCCTGCAAATTCCCCCTGGATTGGAGGGGTCCAGCTGGGCTCTCTCCATCTCTTGCATCATCCCCAGCCATAAAGGTTTTGCAGGCAGGTTCCGGTGGAGTTGCCCAGGGATAATGGAGCACCCAGTTTGGCCCTGCATACGCCTGGGACCTAGCTAACAGTTCTGTCGGTGTGTGAGCTGGAGCGACTCCAGCTCCCTGTTCTGTAGCTTGGCTGGCCCTGCAGAGCTGGTGGGAGCAGGTGTGACTGACCCTCCCCCTCCCCGGCGAAGGGGCTGTATGCTGGGAAGGGGCTGCCTGTACCTTGTCCCTTTGCCCTGTGAAGACAGGGGCACATCTGATGTCAGTTGAGTGCAGCCTGTGGTGTCTTGGCAAGTTGTAGATCTCCCGCTGTGAGACTCCTTCCCTGCTTGGTTATAGTTCTTCTCTTTGTGTGTGGCTTATAATCCTAGCCACTCCCCACAGCCCGGGGGCCTGGTGTCTGTCCCCAGGGGAGACTGGTCTGGCTCTCCCATCTCCCTCATTGAAATCCATGCGTTGGGGAGACACTACATGTCCCCAGTGGCTGCAGCCCCTTCGGAGGTATGTGCACAGAGTGTGTGCCCCATAAGGCGGGAGAGGAGGGAAGGGAGTCCCTTTTGGGGTGTTAATTAACTTGCTTTCCCATGATGCTCGCTGCACCTGGCCCAGTGACCTGCCTGGCTTAATACCCTTTGCCATGGACTGGGTGAGGCTTCTAAGGGTGATGTGTGACTCTGCCTTCTCCCTGTTCTTCCCCACAGCTCCTGGCCTGCGTCTGGGCAGCCATGATCCTCAGGAGGCATCTCATGGTCTGGAAGGTGTTTGCCCCAAAGTAAGTCCCAGGAGCTCCCCTCTGTCCTGGGGTCGGCCTCTTGTTCCTGGCAGCTTGACTCCTAGTCATAGATTCCAAGGCCAGAAGGGTCCACTGTGATCGTGTGGCCTAGAAGGGGGTGCTGCAGGTCAGGATTTGGGGGCATGGAAGAGCTGTGGAGTTGGCGATGCTCATACAGCGAGATAAAGGGCAATTAATCACTGGAGCAGATCGGCAGGGCAGTGGGGCTCCTCCCTCGCTTGGAGCCTGTAAGTCCAGGCTGACTGTTGTTCTGAAAGACACAAGCTGTCGGGCTGGAGTCAGGACCCAGTGGGATACCCTGGCCCGTGTGGGCAGGAGGCCCGAGATCTGGCTTTGGGATCTGTGACCCCTCAGCCCCTCACTGTCAGGAGAGTCCGATTCAAAATAGAACCCTAGATTTGCCAGAGCAGTCTAGCCGGGGACATGGGGCAGGGGAGGGGACGGTTGCGGGGAGGACCCTGGTCCCTGGCAAGGACGTTGGCTGCAATGCATGCAGTGTGTCTGTCCTGCCTGCAGGTTCCTCTTTGAGGCTCTGGGCTTCATGGTGAGCAGCATCTGCCTCCTGTTGGGGATTTTCCTGGTGATGCGTGTGGACTGCGCGGTCAGCGCCTGGTTCGAGCAGCTCCAGCCCAGATAGTATGCCGAGATGCAGGGATGCAGGGAACCCGACGCGGAGCATCGTCCCCTGAGGTGACGGCTGGGGCCCTGCGTCGCAAGGCCAGGCGGGACCTGGGAGCCGCCACCATGGACAGTAGCTGGGGATTATCCCCGTCTCCCTGCTGGGCACGACAGAGCGGGGCCGGCTGGTCTTTGGCCTCACTCACTGTGTCACTGAACTCTGAGCTCAACTTCATTGCCTCCCGCCAGGTGGGTTTGGAGCCCAGGCCAGGCATGTTGGGCCGCAGCGAAGGGTCTGTTGGGGGAGGGGACGAAAGCACAAAGCCTCAAGTGCCCTCCTGTAGCTGGATCTTACTGGCATTTCCCTGACATCTCTCCTCGCTGGGCAGAACGCACCACAGGCCACTGCAGGGCTGTGTGCTGCCTTGGTGTTTGCTACCTCGCCTGGGGCAGAGACGGGGCCTCGTCGACTGAGGAGCTCCTGGGGTGTGTGGGCGCCAGAGGAGTGACCTCCCTGTTCTCTGCCCGTGCAGCAGCCTCCTCCCGGTCCCTGGCTCCCAAAGAGGGGAGTCTGGGCAGCACACGTCCCTGGGCTCGGGCAGCAGCAGCTTCTCAGAGGCTGCTCCACCCATGCTGAAGGAGGAATTGGCTGCTGCTGTGTGATGGGGACACCCCCTGCCTCACTGATTCTGGTCTTCCTCAGGGTTGTGCATGGGAGTGCTGCACCCCGCTGAAGTGTGTGTGTGTGTGTGTGAGAGAGAGAGAGAGACTGGCCAGAGAAGCCTGCAGGGGGGGCTGGGTTAGCAACAGTCTGTACAAAGTCTGTTTGAAACTGCTGGGGAGGGAGACAGCAAGGAGGGAGGGAGCTGTACCCAGGAATAAAATCCTCTCTGAGCCAGGGCTTCAGCCTTTTCTGGTATCCAAACAGAGGCCTCAGCTGTAGCAGCCAGCCCCCCCCCCCCCCCCCCGTCTCCTGTTCTGGTGCATGCCCTTGAATCTGCTGTGGAGCAGTGGCTGCTCCCAACCCCAAGCGTGTGATGACGAGTGACCCAGGCAGTGTGGCTGGTGAGTGAGCACAGCTGAGTGGCAGCCAGGTAGTGACAGGGCCTAGTATCAAGGCTCCTTGTTAAAGGAGGAAGGGAGAGCCAAGAACTGCAGGCCGAGCCACTGGCGTGGGCTCATTGGTGGCTGGAGACCAGGGCTCGAAAGCTTTTGGGAGCAGATAACGCCCCGGCAGGATTGATAGCTTAGTGTCTGCAGAAACGCCGGGGCACTGGAGTTGAGGTTGGGCCACATCTCACAAGCTCGGCAGGGTGGGGCCTGGCCGCGTGGCTGGAAGATCTGTAAGAAAACCCTAAGTGTTGCAGGTGGTGGTGGTGGTGATTCAGAGCACGGTGCTTTTTGCAGTACGGACCTGGGTGCTCCAGCCCGGGGTGTTGTGCTGCTCTGGGTGACCTCTCAAAGGAGCT